ATAGGCACAGTAGTGCGTGTCTGTTATTCCAAAAATTTGTGAGGCTGAGGCAGGAGGATTGCAAGTTTCAGGTCAGCCTCAGCAACTTAGTAAGACTGTCAGTAACTTAGTGAGACACTCTCTCAAAATTAAAAATAAAAAAGGGCTAAGGGGTATAGCTGCATGGTAGAGGGACCCTGGGGTTAAATCTGCAGTATCAAAAACAAAAATAAAACAACGGGTACCTAGATATCCAAGATAGACATATGCATACATAATACAAAGTGCATAATTTGTGATTCTCAATAGATAAACCAATCAATTATTTGGGAACTACATTTTTTTTCATACTAGACATAGAAAGGGTTTTAGTTCTGATTAATATGAAATAAAATAAGGTATACGACAGAAATCGAGGCCATAAAGAGGTCACATTCTTATTGGATAAATATGATTAATATACATAAATTAATAGTAAGTGATGCAATAGAGTAATATCATCAAGAACTAAACCAATGAACAAAACCTGTAGCTGAGGAACAGTTAAAAGAGAGGGATATCAATAAAGGCTGGAACAGACAGAAAAGATTTCATAGAAATGGGAGAATTTAATGCTAAGATTTGAAAATGATGGCATTTCAGGAGAGGTCAACAACATAAGCCTGGATAGTCCATAAGATGGTTAGGAAAACAGCATATTCCGAGCAGAAGGCATTTATTATTGATTGAGTGTAAAGGTAAGTTTGAGTAGATAAGAAGGAGAATTATGAGATAGATAAAATATATGTTTTGAAAGACAAATGAAACAAGTGTATTATAAAGAAAAATTATCAAAATTGTCTTTAGAAGTAGAAAATTGGAGCATACCAATAATTCTTAAAAGAAATGCAAAGAAATTTCAAATAATTATCTCTACAAAGTAGTTTAAAAGAACAACCAGGCCCTCCAAAAACCAAGGAAATTTCTTTACCATTAGACCCACCTTATAACAAATGCTAAGGGAGTCCTACATCTGAAAGTTCCCAAATGATAAACTACCATCATTAAAAACACACAATAGTATAAAACACATAATAGTATAAAACTCAGAGGTACAGAAAATACACAAATAAAAAATAGAAGGAGTGGCTGGGCTCAGTGGCAGAGCACTTGCCTAGCATGTGTAAGGCATTGGGTTCAATCCTCAGCACCACTTAAAAATAAATTTTAAAAAAAGTTATTGTGTCCATCTACAACTAAAAATAGTTTTTTAAAAATAGAGGTAGTAATACCTTGTTACCACAGAAAGCCACCAAACCACAACAATAAGAGAAAGAAAGAAGCAAAGGAGACACAATATAATCCCAAATCAATTAACGAAATGATGGGAGTGAGTTCTTACTTATCAATAACAACCATGAATTAAATGCATTAAATTTCCCATCTAAAAGATATATACTGATTCAACTATATGCTGTCTATAAGAAATTCACTTTACTGGTAAAGACACACATAGACTGAAATGAATGGATGGACAATGATGTTCTACACAAATGGAAACCCACAGTGATTAGGAGTAGCTATACTTTTATATCAGAAAAAAATTTAAGTCAAAAGCCATAAAGAGAGACAAAAAAGAAAATTACATAGTGATAAACAGAGTAATTTATGAAGAGATATAACAATTACATATGCATTCAATACCAGAACATCCAAATACATGAAGCAAAGACTATCATATCTAAAGGGAAACATGGACTCCAATACAGTAAGTACAGTAACAGTTGCGACTTCAACACTCCACTTTCAAAAACAGTCAGATGTAGAAAATCACAAAGAAACATCAGGGATAAAATATACCGTAGAACAAATGACTTGACAGATATCTACAGAATATCCATTCAATAGCTGCAGAATACATTCTTCTCATCAGCATATGAAACATTCTACATAGGATGGATCATATGTTAGACCACAAAATAAGTCTCAATAAATTTAGGAAAATCCAAATTATCTCACCTATCTTCTCTGACCACAATGGAATAAAACTAGGAATCAACAGTAAAAGAAACTTTGGAAACTGCAAATGTACAGAAATTAAATAACATGCTACTGAATGACCCAATGGTCAATGAAGAAATTTAAAATGGAAATTAAAAAAAAATTCTTCTTGAAACAAATGAAAATAAAAATACAACATATTAGAACTTATGGAATATATCAGAGCAGTACTAAGGAGGAAGTTTAAAGAAAAAAAAAAGGCCTACATCAAAAAAGTAGAGAGTCTGGGTACTAGCTCAGTTGTAAAAACACATTATACCCCCCAAAAAAATTAGTCAAAGGAAAGAATATACTAAAAATCAACAAAATTATAAGTTAATTCTTTTGAAATCAACAAAGCTAAAGCTAGACTAAGGGCAAAATACTCAAATAAATACAATCAGAGTTGAAAAAAGAGACTTTACAATTATATTACTTACAGAAATACAGAGGATCATAAGGACCTACTGTGAGCAACTATACATAAGAAAATGGAAAGTCTTAAAGAAGTGGATAAATTCCTGGTCACATACAATGTACCAAGGCAGAGAGAAGAAATTTTCTTAGAGAGAAAATCTAAGCAGACAAATAATGAGTAACAGGATTATAGTAGTAATAAAAAGTCTCCGTCCAGAGAAAAGTTCAGTACCTGATGGCTTCACTGCTGAATTCTACCAAACTTTTAAAGAGAACTACTAAATGAATTTGGAGAGGGAACTCCTCCAAATTTATTCTATGAGTGTGGCATTATCTTGACACCAAAACAAGACAAAGACACAACAACAAAAGGAAACTACACGTCAATATCTCTCATAAACAAGGATGTAAAAGTCCTCAACAAAATACTAGCAAACTGGGTTTAATAGCATTTTAAAAAGACTGTACACCATGAACAAATGGAATTTTTCCCAGGTATGCAAAGACAGTTCAACATAGTCAAATCAATAAACATGATTCATTTCATTGATAGAATGAAGGGTAAAAATCAAATGATCATTTCAGTAGATGAAGAAGCAGCTTTTGGTAAAACGCAACATTTATTTTTTTAATATTTATGTTTTAGAAGTAGTTGAACACAGTACTTTGTTTACTTTTTTATGTGGTGCTGAGGATCCAAGCCAGGGTCTCGCACATGCTAAAGGAGCGCTTTACCGCTAAGCCACAACCTCAGCCCCACCCCCAACATCTTTTTATGATAGAGTTTCAACAGCATGTACAGCCAGAGGAATGAGAAGTTGTGGTCCATTTGTGTACAATGTGTCAAAATGCATTCTACTGTCATGTATGACTAATTAGAACAAATTAAAAATTAAAAAGACTTTCAACAAATTAGATATAGGAAAAAATGTACCTCAATGCAATAAAGTCCATATAAATGACAAACTGACAGCTAACATCATACTCAATAGGGAAAACTTGGAAGTTTTTCTCCTGAGATCTGGAATAAATCTAGGATACCCACTTTCATCACTCTTGCTCAACATAGTGCTGGAATTCTCATGAGAGCTATCAGGCAATAAAAAGAAATAAAGAAGGAAGTCAAATTGTTCCCATATGCAGATGGCAGGATCTTATATACAGAAAAACCTAAAGATGTGACCAAAAAAAATGTTAGAACCAATAAATTCAGTAAAGAGGTAGGATAAAAATTCAATTTATAAAAACTAGTAATGTTTCTATATAAATCATTAATGAACTAGCTGAAAAAGAAATCAAGAAAGCAATTCTATTTACAGTCACTACAAAAAAAAAAAAACTTAAAATGAAACACCTTGGAATAAATTTAACCAAGAGGATAAAGAAATTGAAAAACATCCATACACACAAATGGAAAGACATCTAATGTTTATGAATTGGAAGACCTAATATTGTTAAAATGTCCAAACTAGCAAAAGCAATCCACAAACTCGCTGCTATCCCTATCCCAATTCTGATGGTATTATTCACAGAAAGAGAAAACAATGGAAAACTTTTATGGAGCCACAAAAGACCCCAAATAACCAAAGCAACCCTAAACAAAAAGAACAAAGCTGGAGGCATCACAACACCTGACTTCAAAACATATTACAAAGTTATTGTCATCAAATCCTATTGGCATTGTACTAGTGAAAAAACAGACACATCAACCAAGAACCCAGAAATAAATCCACAAATTGACAGTCAAGTGAGTTCCAACAAAGGTGCCAAGAACATATGTTGCTAAAAAGACTCCAATAAATAGTGCTGGGGAAACAGAATATCCATGTGCAGAAGAATAGAATTAAACCCCAACCTTTCACCATATATAAATATCAACTCAAAGTGGACAAAAGACTTAGATGTAAGACATGAAACTACTAGAAGAAAATGCAGGAAAAACACGTTAGGCTATTGATAGGGGCAAAGATTTTTTGAATAAGACCTGAAAAGCACAGGCAGCAAAATTAAAAAACAGACAAATGGTATCATATAAACTAAAATGCTTATGCATAGCAAAGAAAGCAATCACCAGAATGAGGAGACAGATTACAAGATGAGAGATAATATTTG